CCTTTATTAGTAGCTGCTAGACTACTGGCAATTTCTCACTGGAAAAGGAATTGGTGGGGGGTAAGGAATGGCTCAGAGGAATACTGGATGTTGTTCATGTTATGGAAGAGTGAGCACATCAAGTATGTACACAACCCAGCAGACAGAGGACAAACAGCTACTCCGGGTAGTTAGTAACTATTTATTCAACACATTCGCCCGTAAAACCCCATTAGCTGCATTGGACAAAGTTGGCTGAATGTTGGAACTTGGGAAGTTGGAGCATGTATGAGGACTTGCTTTGATTTGTTAGTGAGTCAAGACAGAATTCTGAGCTTTACGATGTCCCCAGAAATGCTGAACATGCATTACAACTGTGCTGTGGCCTAATCTATTACACATTTCAGAGGATGTGCCTGCTTGGGTGTCTGTCCCCCAGCAGGGGGACATGCGCCGCTCCCCTGGCTGTGCCAGCTGCAGCGGCTGTGGAGACGTGCTTCTCACCTGGCCCCATGCTGCTGCAGTGAGAGAGGGACTGGGGTTGTCCTCTCTTCCCGGATACCCTGCATCCTGAACCCCTCCTCCCCAGCCCCACGCCACAGCAATGATTTAAACAAAGAACACCACAACTTATTTGAGTTAAGGACCCGAGTGACTTCTAGTGACACTCTCAACAAGAGATGAGTTCATAATGAATCACATTGTACTTGGGTAACATGTTTGGTGATGATGTGTAAAGTTGTTTACATTTCCTAAACAAACAACTTAAAAAAATTAGGCTTGTTGGATTTCCTGAACAAAACAAAGATAAAACTCTGCACTTTAATTCCATTCATTTCAGTTTTCGGTCTGCTTCAAAACTGTTTCTGAAGAGCTTTGGGGATTAAAGAATCCTCCTTTTAACTAAAAATGGCATCTTAAAGACACCCCATGACCTGGAATATATAAACTTACCAAAATGCAAAGGGCAGCGCAGCCTCAGACTAGACTGCCTCTCACGCCTGAAATAAAGTCAAGAATCTGTAGTGATCAAAACAAGAACTCAGAAACAGGAGGCGGCGGGTGTCATTACTATTGAGCAGGAAGAAGAAATGGGATTCACCACTAGATATTATTTCTTGCTACGGTGTTGAGAAAATAAATGGTGGGCAGAGTTTTTCCAATACAAACAGAATAAAAAGTTTAGCTTGAGTGTTTAGCCTAGAATCTCTCAATTACAGCCTAGCTAACTGTAGCTACAGATATAGAACCAACCAGAAACACTTGAGAGTACACGCAGCGAACATCAAAAGAATCGGTAATGATTTGAGTCATACTGTCTTAGAAAGTGTGACGAAAATTACTCAGATTGCACAGCTGGCCGAACTAGGAGTGGAGAGACTTACTCTACAGATGCCTGGAGAAATACTGAACGTGTGTGGCATGCAAACTTTCTGCAGCTACGTGGCAGCATCCCCGTTTACACAGAGGAAAACAATGCTACATGTTAGAGCAAGGCTACTCAACACACGGCCCGTTTGCGGCCCGCGGTGATGTTTGGGTTTCTGCAGGGCTCAACACACAGCCCGCGGGTGAAAGTCAAAACAAAAAAGTAGTCAGTATAATGGTCTTCTGTTGATATGCGTTTTAGTAGTTAAATTCCTGGACTGTCATTGCTCAGTGCTGACATATGGGTGGAAATCGGGTAAATATTGCATTTTATTAATGTCAGAACTGACTTCAATGGGGCCTGTGTGTCTTGCCTTAATCTTTGTATTCATGCCCATCAGTGTGAAAGAAGCTATTTGCATATAATTGCATATATATTTGAATATAGTTAGTTTAACTTCTGTGCCAGGGAAGATAATGGATCAAGTAATGAAGGAAATCATCTGTAAACACTTGGAAAGTGGCAAGGTGATAGGGAACAGCCAGCATGGATTTGTAAAGAACAAATCATATCAAACCAATCTGATAGCTTTCTTTGATAGGATAATGAGTCTTGTGGATAAGGGAAAAGCAGTGAATGTGGTATACCTAGACTTTAGGAAGGCATTTGATACGGTCTCGCATGATATTCTTATCAATAAACTAGGCAAATACAACTTAGATGGGGCTACTATATGGTGGGTGCATAACTGTACTCAGAGAGTAGTTATTAATGGTTCTCAATCCTGCTGGAAAGGTATAACAAGTGGGGTTCCGCAGGCGTCTGTTTTGGGACCGGCTCTGTTCAATATCTTCATCAACAATTTAGATATTGGCATAGAAAGTACACTTATTAAGTTTGCAGGTGATACCAAGCTAGGAGGAGTTGCGACTGCTTTGGAGGATAGGATCATAATTCAAAATTATCTGGAGAAACTGGAGAAATAGTCTGAGGTAAACAGGACGAAGTTTAATAAAGACAAATGCAAAGTGCTCTTCTTACGAAGGAACAATCAGTTTCACACTTACAGAATGGGAAGTGACTGTCTAGGAAGGAGTAAGGCAGAAAGGGATCTAGGGGTTATAGTGGACCACAAGCTGAATATGAGTAAGCAGTATGATGCTGTTGGGAAAAAAAAAAAAAAAACCATCACCATGATTCTGGGATGCATTAACAGGTGTGTTGTGAGCCAGACACGAGGAGTCATTCTTTCGCTCTACTCTGCACTGATTAGGCCTCAGTTGGAGTATTGTGTCCAGTTCTGGGCACCGCATTTCAAGAAAGATGTGGAGAAATTGGAGAGGGTCCAGAGAAGAGCAACAAGAATGATTAAAGGTCTAGAGAACATGACCTATGAAGGAAGGCTGAAAGAATTGGGTTTGTTTAGTTTAGAAAAGAGAAGATTGAGGGGGGACATGATAGTAGTTTTCAGGTATCTAAAAGGGTGTCATGAGGAGGAGAGTGAAAACTTGTTCATCTTGGCCCCTGAGGCTAGAACAAGAAGCAATGGACTTAAACTACAGCAAGGAAGGTTTAGGTTGGACATTAGGAAAAAGTTCCTAACTGTCAGGGTGGTTAAACACTGGAATAAATTGCCCAGGGAGGTTGTGGAATCTCCATCTCTGGGGATACTTAAGAGCAGGTTAGAGAAATGTCTATCAGGGATGGTCTAGGCCAGCGTCTCCCAAACTATGGGATGTGGCCCGGTACCGGGCCGCGGGAAAAAAAATACCAGGCCTCAGCGGGCCGGTTGGCTGCCGGGAAGGGAGCAGAGCAGGGCAGAGTGGAGCAGGCTGGGAGGAGGTGGCGGGGGGAACCAGCTGCTGGGAAGCAGGGTTGGGTCAGCAGGACAGGGTAGTCAAACACTGGAATAAATTGCCCAGGAAGGTTGTGGAAATTCCATCTGTGGAGATATTTAAGAGTAGGTTAGGTAAATGTCTATCAGGGATGGTCTAGGCCAGCGTCTCCCAAACTATGGGATACCAAGGAATACCAAACGGCTGCCGGGAAGGGAGCAGAGCAGGGCAGAGTGGAGCAGGCTGGGAGGAGGTGGCGGGGGGAACCAGCTGCTGGGAAGCAGGGTTGGGTCAGCAGGACTGTCCTGCAGAGATCAGGGCAGGTGGGTAGAGGGCTGGCGGAAGCAGGGTTGGGGTTAGCGGGCCTGTGCGGCAGAGATCTGGGCAGGCAGGCGGCCAGCAGAAGCAGGGCTAGCTGTCCCGCGGAGATCCGGGCAGGCGGACGGGTGGCAGAAACAGGGTTGGAGGCAGCAGGGCTGTCCCGTGGAGATCAGGGAGGGCAGGCGGCAGAACTGGGGCTGGACGGGGGGTGGGAGGGCTGGAGGAGGAGATCAGGAGAAGGGGGGGGGAACCGGCCACCGGAAGCAGGGCTGGACGGGGGCAGCAGGCTTGACTGGGAGATCAGGAGGAGAAGTGGGGGGCGGGGAGCGGGACTAACCAAGGCACATGCAGACCCTACAGACCCTGGCAGACGAGTGAGTCTGATGAGGGATTCCATTCCGGTCCCCCCACCCCACATTTCCGTGTCCCTGGAGTAGTTGCGAACTGCCTGGCAAGTAGACACACTCAGGCACCGTGAGCACATATTCCAGCCAGGCAGTTCACAGCTAAGGACTGATACACCTAATTATAATAAAACCTACCTAATTAGAAAATACCAGACATTTTATATGTCTGGTAATTTCTCAATTGGTTTCCTGGACAAAACCCTCAAATACTGGACTGTCCAGTACAAAACCGGACACCTGGCAACCCTCCCCTTCCTTGCACCCTCCCTCCTAGCCAGATACCCTACCCCCAATCTGCTCCTGCCTCCTGGAGTGCCCATGTGGCACCGGGTCCCCCCAAGCTCTGGCCCAGGCTGGGTGGAGGATGCAGCCGGGTGAAACACTGAAAATGTATTAATTTTTAATTCTTTTTTTATACGTGTTTATATTTTTGGGCTGCAAAAAACAGTACTAAAAAAAAAAACCAGGTTCCAACTAAAGTAAAAAGTTTGGGAAACCCTAATCTAGCCAGCTTTCTATCCATCTTACAGTCCATTTATCCAATCCATATTCCCTTAGCTTGCTGGCATGAATATTGTGGGTGATTATATCAAAAGCTTTGCTAATGCTGGCACTGGGGGCTTTGGGAGAATCAGAAACAACTTATTAGAATATTCATCATTTGTTTAATGAATATGCAAATATGCAAATGAATGTTACTGGTCCTCCAAAAGCTCGTGAATGGATTTACTGGTCCCCCTGTCAAAAAGTTTGGGAACCCCTGGTCTAGACAGTATTTGGTCATGCCATGAGGACTGGACTCGATGACCTCTCGAGGTCCCTTCCAGTTCTAGTATTCTATGATTTTTTTTATATATACACACACACACACACAGGGAGTATCATTGAGGCCCAAAGTTGAGTAGCCCTGTGTTAGAGGATTGCTGTCACATCAGGATCCAATTCTCATTCAGGGCAAGGCTCCTTTACACTGTGAAGTACACTGACATGCACTTTCAAACGCTTTTATGCCTGCACACTGTAAAGGAGCTTCAGTGTAACTCATGATCAGGCTCTGTATGTCCTTCAAGCAGTGGAAAAAGCACTTACCTGTTTCCGAAGGTTTCTCTGTTTCTGGCCCATCAGACAGAAATCCATCTCTGGCCTTGGCAAGACTCTGGGAACGAGTCAATGCTTTGCTAGCCCAAACACACGTGTCTGCCTGTCGAGTCAAAACAAAAACAAATTAGCCTTCCACTTAAAGCATGGAATGTTAATAATGAACTATTCAGCATAGCATCAGGCTGGGGATTTTCAAAATCACTTTGCATGCAGAAAGCCCCTACCGCCACCCAAGTCAAAGGGAACTGAGTCAGGCCAATGCTATGCACTTTGGAAAAGTCCTTCTTTAAATCTTATATCCAAGATCTTCAGGAGTCACCGGTGATTTTGGAGCCCACAACTTACAGCACCTTAAAGGGACTTAGTTAACAGAGGATGGGTACTCAGTAAAGTCAATGACCACTTTCAAAGGACCTTGGCCTACACATAGAACTGTAGGCACCCCAGTTTGAAAACCGGGCCCTAAATTACTATAGGAACAGATACTGAACGGCACCTGGAACGTTTAAAATCCTCTTTTAAAATTACTGCTCTCCTAATTAAAGTGGACCCTTGAATGCGTCAAGATGAATTCTGCAACACGGGAAAAAAACAGAACTTTCTGAACTAGGTGATATTTCTTTGTCGTAAGGTTTCGGCACAGAATTGCATCAGCCATGTGCAATTATGCATGTAACAGAATTATAAGCAATGGTAAAAGAGAAAAATGATCATCTATGAAGACTACAGATTACTAAGTTTTGCTCCCAAATTATCTTTCCACACCAGGAGCGTTATAGCCTGGAAGACTTAGGTGCACACTAAGAAATGTTATGACTAAGAGAATTCAAAATTCACTCCATATTAACATAGTTTACTCTATATTAACATAAGGCTCTGTTTTGTGGAGAAGTTAGTGCTGAAACCTAATGAACATGCAGGACCACAGCTTGATAAAGACGGGGTACCACTAGGGCTCACGAAAGACTTAGAAACACAAACTTCAAGATAAGGATTCTACACTGATAGGCAGGGCTATTTAACCATAAACACTAGAGATGGAAATGACCTTCCGGATGAAATCCTGGCTCCACTAAAGTCAATGGAAATTTTACATCTGACGTCAGGATTTCACCCATTATGTTTTCTGCAGTGGATGGATGGGCTGGTGAGTATCTCACCCCAAGCTCCCCTAACAGCTGCAGCGGTCTTCTCTCGCCATTCCTCTCTTTCCTCCCGCCCCAACTTTCTACTTTTGAGCCAGCTTTGCTAAATTCAGGCCAGCGTTTTGATGATTGGTACATAAAATCCTACCCAGGGAGTCCTGAATATCTGGACAATAAAAAGAACAAAAGTCTCAACCGGAAAGCATTATAGCAGATCCATCAGAATAGCTATTAACAGCAGGCCTCCTGGAGCTACCCCCATCAAGCCAGCTGCATACTACCCCCAGCTACAGCAAAGTAACCAGTTACTCACTAAGCATCACCATCATTGGGTGATGCTTAGTGGGTACCAGTTAACTGGTACCCGGGAGCAGCCCAGGGAGAGGGCTGCTACAATCCTGTGGGAGTCGGGAGCCGCTCCCCCATCCCGAGCTTGGACCTGCCGGCTCCTCCTGCTGGCCCCCCCATGTGGGCGGGCCAGCAATGGCAGCCAGCAGCCCCAAGCGCAGAGGTGCCAGCTGCAGGACTTGGCTTAATTAGTTAACTGGTTAACCCTAAAATTTAACCACGATTTTACATTCCTACAACAAAGAGTAACAAAAGATTTGTTCAAATGATACAAGCCATGCACTTCGTGTGGAAGCTTCTTTGCTTACACATGCTTCTCACTGAACAATTGTGGCATGCGCACAAATAAGGTCTGTGTGTGTGAAGGAAAAACTGCCCATACCTGGTTTAATTTAAAAAACAACCAATGGTTCTGCAGCACCTTAGAGACTAACAAAAAACGTAGCTAGTATCATGAGCTTTCATTGGCACAACCCACTTCTTCAGATGAATGGAGTTAAGGTGTCCGGGGAACAAATAAATAGCCAAGAAGAAAAAAATATGAAAAAATATATCATAAATTAGAGTGTGCTGAATATACACAGTGCTTACGTCATAGGGTGTGGAATGTAGCGATGCTTACGTCATAGGGTGTGGAATGTAGCGGCTCATCCAGGTCGGGTCTTTGTTCGGACCTTGATTACAGGTGTCGAATTTGTAAATGAAACCAAGTTCTGCAGCTTCTCTCTCCAGCTATCACTTCTAGATCCGTTAGTGAAGTGTTTCCCAATTTTATTTGGCCACAGAACCTCTCGGGCTGCCTTAAAAAAAGCACCTCGCCGCCACGTTTCCTCAAGAAAAAAAGCCCAGCAGAATCGCGGCAATGTCTCTAAGAGGGGGCGGGGAGCACCAGTTGGGAAACACTGCATTACTGAGTGCCCAGGCAAGTTGAAATGTACCTGGTTTGACTTTCTAAAAAAGTAAGAGGTGCTGCATGAGCAACAGATATCAGTAGATCAGTAGGTGAAGAAAGCCAAAGCCTTTAAACCAGCCTATTCACTCATCACTACACTAGTGGCAAGTTAGGGTACGTCCAGAGGGGTGTAAAGTAGACATATTGAAAGTGCAAATGAAGCAGGAATTTAAATATCCCGCGCTTCATTTGCATAATGGCGGCACCCGCTTTTTTCCAAAACGGAGCTTTTTGAAAAAAAATGGCAGTTTAAACAGGGAATTTTCGACAAAAATGCCCTGTTTCAAAAGATCCTGTACTCCTCAAAAGGATTTCTTCTGTCGAAAATGCCCCGTTTAAACTGCTGGGGGGGTTTTTTGGTTTTTTTTTTTTCCGAAAAGCCCCATTTTGGAAAAAAGCAGAGGCCACCATTATGCAAATGAAGTGTGGGATATTTAAATCCCCGCTTCATTTGCACTTTCGATGAGTCTAATTTACATCCCTCTGCCAACAGAGGGATGTAGTTTAGACACACTCTTAGAGGGGATCCTACCCAGCCAGGACCAATATCAAACTGTGGGTACACAGAGTCCCTGCACATAGCTGAGGCCTTAATCAGAAGACGAACTGAAGAATTTCAGATCCAGACACCTTTGTGTGATCCACTTCTTTCATGCCAGCAAATGGCTTTGGCAGATTTTTTCACTATACCCTGCCACGCCGTCAGGAAAGAAATTCTTGTTCCAGTTCACTACACCCAAAGCATCATCCAATAAGAACCAGAAAATTCTTTCAAGTACCTAAAAGGGTGTTATAAGGAAGAAGGAGAAAATTTGTTCTCCTTGGCCTCTGAGGATAGAACAAGAAGCAATGGGCTTAAATTGCAGCAAGGGAGATTTAGGTTGGACATTAGGAAAAACTTCCTGGCTGTCAGGATGGTTAAACGCTGGAATAAATTGCCTAGGGAGGTTGTGGAATCTCCATCACTGGAGATATTGAAGAGCAGATTCACCTGTCAGGGATGGTTAGACAGTGCTTAGTCCTGCCGTGAGGGCAGGGGACTGGACTCAATGACCTCTCAAGGTCCCTTCCAGTTCTAATATTCTATGACATTCCCCTCATTTTCATTCATAAGCTAAGATCTATAAAAACAGACGCCTAAAATTAGACTGAAATCCTCCTTCAGATACCTAAAAAAAACCCAAACAGCTGAGTGCTCAATATTCTTGGAAACATGGCCACTTACTCAGGCACCTAAGTATAGACTTGGACCTCAATTCTCATTTACACTGCATTATACCCTGACTTTCAGACCTCTTTTAATAGTGCTTTGGCATTATAAAGGGGCTTGAGTGTAAATGAGGGTCGAGTCTTTAGAGCCAATTTTAGACACCTGCTTTTAAAGATCTGAGGCAGAAATAGTGCAGTTTTAACACCGTGATGTGATGGTAGCTGCCATTTAGACTGTCTCTGAAAATAGACAGTGCTGCAAAGAAGGGCCCAGCTGGAAGCACTGGATTAGACACAATGCTGGGAGTTAAAATTCATGATTTCTGTTCCCCATTTTGCCACGAACTCTGGGGCTGGTCCAAAGCCCACTGAAGTCACAAGGTCTCAGAAACCAAGATGTTTAGAAGCAATTAGAAAAGGGCTGGACTTTTCCAAGGAACATTCCGAGCTGCATTAGTAAGGATTAAAAAATAAATACAACTTTGGAAGTGCTATAAACCCTCATACTTAAGGGCACTAGCCAACTCCCTCAGCTGGAGGTTAGGAAGAAACTTGCCTCATAAGCAAGTTATGACATTATCTAAATCATATTAAGCAGCCAGGCCCCACCTACTGAATTACCAACTCCGTTTCTGCAGCGTGTCATGCTCGGGCTTGCTAAACACATTGTGCTATTTGAAAGCGAACAGCACACGTGGCTCTCTCCCGTATCCCCTAGACCCGCTGTTCTCATTTAACAGCTTGAAGGCTGCATGAAGTAACATCATTTGCTTTTTTTTAGGTCTCTTAATGTCACTTCACACAAAAGTTCCCTGGGCACTGTGGTATGCAGTGTGTAGCCATTAAAATTCACTCCAATGCAAAGAACTCTCACGAAGGCTCCTGTGGTGCGTTAGGCCCTTCATGTCAGTCTGTAGTGATACTCTAATGCAGTGCATTTCTGTGTGGTTTACCCATGATGACAGCAGATTTTTAAAAGGCATGGATGCCTTTAAGGTGTCTATTTTATTTAAAGATGTATTTATTTTATTTAAATCTAAAGTAGGCTGGTGAATCAGTCTTTAGGTATCTAAGTGAATTACCTGATTTCCCTGAGTCCCTCAGTGGAAACTCCTGGGTGTGCACTTTGAAGAGTCAGGCCATGACCACTCAGACTTACAGCCCCGTGTTTGACTGCCTTGGTCAGAACACACGGGTATAGCATTCGCAATGAGAGCTGCCAGAGTGACACCGTCTCTAAAAAGACATGAACCAGATGGATGATGAGCTACTGCGCATTCGACAATCTCCCTTCCGTGGTGTAGTGGTTGCTGGTGAGGCACATTTGACTGTAATTAGGGGCTTATTTAAGTCAGACTCAAAAATCCCACAGCCACTCTGAGAGCGAGGCTACGTCTACACTACAACGCTATTTCGAGATACCAGAGTATCCCAAAATAGCTATCCCGCGTCTTCACACCAAGCTCTTACAACGTCCCTGTAAACCTCATCCCACAAGGAGTAAGGGACATTTCGGAATAGCGCTTTATTTAGAAATTCGGTGCTGTGTCAACCACGCCAAACGACGAAATAAGCTCTCTCGAAATAGCATCGAAATAAGATATGCAATTTGCGTAGCTCAAACTGTGTTATCTTATTTCGAGTTACGGTGCAGTGCAGACGCACTCACAAAGAGCTATCCAAGGTACAGAACGGGGCCAGAGCATCACAGGACCCAAAGTGCACACACCCCATTGTTGCTTAGTTAACGCTCCTCCTTTCTAGATCTGTCAGCAATTGGCTCTCACAGTACACATGCTGCCCTCCCCCAGCCCCACGTCCACCACCAGGGCTCACTGCCACCCCTTCTCCTGACCAGGGTCCCTGCACAGGCACGATCGCTGCTCTCCACCCTGTGTGGGGAGCACTGGCGCTCCAGCGGGTCGCCTGGTTCAGGTCCCGGTGCAAGCGCTGGTCCTGCGTCAGCTGAGCAGAGACAACCTTGCTGCTCGCTCAGGTTGGGCCCCAGCACCCCTCACTCTCCATGGGGGGAGGTCGAATCTGAGTGAGCGGTATTGTAACCAGGTGCAGTGGCATTGCATCAGTGCTCAAACTGCCTCCCCAACACTTGTCTAGGCTGCCGATGCATTAATCTGGCCCTGGTGAGGCAGTCTCCCCCTCACGTTAGCAGCAAAGGGAGAGCCCCAGCGACTAGTACAACCCTGGGAGCAACAGACCAGCGAGATACAAGAGTTTCCCGCCCCGCAGGAGGAGTTACTGGGGTCAGGAGTGCAACAGCCAGAATCACGGTGGGGTATCTGAGGAAGATCACTGTAGTGCAGTTCCTTCTAGCTGGACTCCACCTGGCTCCATGGCTTGGATAATCCTCACTCCCCATGGACCTCTGTGCAGCCTGGGGAGCCCAGGTTCGCGGCAGCTAGTGAAAGACCGTGCAATCTGAGGACAATATAATGACCGCCAGTCAACAGGGGCTTGTGGGAAAGAGATCTGAAACTCACATGATATTGTGTCTCAGGAGGTAGCCGGGTTAGTCTGCATCTGCAAAAACAACAAGGAGTCCCGTGGCCCTAAAAAAAGCTCCCCCAGCAGCATCCTGGCTAGGTCTGGAAACAGTTACTGCACAATGGAACCATAAGAGTTCTTCCTGTTAACTATAATAAAGCCATATCCTGAGTCAAACTAGGGATGTAAAGGTTAACTGGTTACCTGGTAAGCATTAGCCTTACCAGTTAACCAGAGAACCAAGCCCGGCCAGAGCAAGCTGCCCGCCCGTTAACAGGTTAAACATCCCATTTAACGGGTTAACTTTTTTAATGGGTATTTACACCCCTCAGTCAAACAGAATCTTCCTTGCATTGGTTCAGTGTGGAGAGACACAATTATTGCCTCACTGAAACACTTAGGAGCTGCTGTTATCTGAAGGTAAGCCAACTCTTCACCTGTGCCTCTGACAGTAAAAAGGAAACAGAGAACCACGTGCATCATCGCCAAATCAGATTAGACCTTCCTGTAAAATCCCGATGCATCAACGTAACTTTTCTGAGAAACCAGGTCCGATGTCCCAGAAACTGTGCAGGCAGGTCTGAGCACTTAATCCTCTAATCAGATGCTGCTTATGCATTCTGATTATTTGGTTTTGTAGCCACATAGTAGCAGAGTACAAATAGCATCATCGCTTTTAACTTGTGCAAGTCTGCTGCTGATAAGACTGAGGAGGCAGGGTCAACTCGAGACCTTGACAGTCTCTCTTCAGGTTCAGGGTTGGTTTTTTTGAGCTTTTACAGAACACCCCACTACCTCCCACAGATGCTCAGCTCACCAGTCTTGCAACACACAGCCTGAAGAGCAGAGAGCCATTCGGACACCTCTCCAGTTAGCCATGTACGGGATGTCCTTTAACTTCCCTTATCATCAACTTGGCCTACTCCTGACCATCAACATGACCACACAGCCATGCACACGTAATATAATACCCATCACAGGCTCGCTGGTGCCAAGCTTTTCCCCATTCCAGCATTCCTGTGGTGATCTCACCTTATCATCCTGGCTATCAACGTGCTCTCCCTCTGTGGATGGAAAGGCAAGCTACACCTTGCACTGTCAGACCACAGAGTGGTCACTGTGAGTCACACCTTTGTGGTATGCACCACTACAGTCTAGGGATGTAAAAATCCTGTTTAAAATGTTAACGGGTTAAACTATGTGTTTAACCAGCCTGCCGTGTCATGCCGTGGGTGGGGTCTACTACAACAGCCCCACACCCACAATGTGGGGGCCCAGCTGGGTTGGAGCGCCCCCGTGCACGGCACAGCACACTGGCCCTGTTGGGCTGGAATGACGCCACTGTGGGCAGGAACTGCTCTGGCCAGGTGAAGCAGGGCCCACTGCACTATGACACAAACGGGGAGCTGCTCCTGCCCGGCCAAGCACCAGTTAACCAGTTACCTGGTAAGCATGCCAGTAAGGCAATTCTTACTGGATAACTACTTATCTCTTTGCATCCCTACCACAAGACCTCAGCACTGAGAGCTAGGTGCAAACCCACTTTTTCAGCCTCAAGAGCAACAGAGGAAAAGCTAGCACTCTTCCCTTTCCAGTAACTCCTGCAAAGGAAGGAGAAATCTAGTTTTCTTGCTGGGCACCTTGCTCTACTGTCTCCAATTTGCAGGCAGGTATTAGTGACAGGTACCTGGTTAGAACCTAGATTGTGCTCATGCAAATGAAACAAGGGGTTCCTTTCACTACAGTGAGTGACAGTACAGGCAGTCCCCGGGTTACATGGATCCGACTTACATCAGATCCCTACTTACAAACAGGGTGAGGCAACCCCGCACTAGCTGCTTCCCCCCAGCAGACCAGGGAGACGCGGAGCGGCTTTTCTTAGCAGACACCTCAGCTTGAGAATAAAGGACTGAGGGAAGTGAGGTGTGAGAGAATAAAACTGAGCTCTGGAGAAATGTTTGGCTAGAATTTCCCCTACAATATGTACCAGTTCCGACTTACATACAAATTCAACTTAAGAACAAACCTACAGTCCCTATCTTGTACGTAACCCGGGGACTTCCTGTATGTGCAATGTTAATTCCTACAACCCTATCACTGGAAACCCTAATAGAGCCCATTTCCTCAAGTACCGCATAGGGGAAAGATTTGGGCGGTATGAACAATACAGGAGACATGGCTTCTGAATCTGTTAAAAGGCAAGTGACACCAGAAAGTAAGAAGCCCCGACAAATTGCAACTGCCCATGTGTAGGCAGGTCCTGGGATGCTGTTAGTCAATGGTGTATTTTCAGGAAACTAGGGCAGTTGTCAGCTGCTGCAAATTAGCACAGAAATATACCGCCTCAGGATCTGCCCCATAGTTTCAGTAACTAGCATTTCAAGTAGGATGCGGTTTCTTTCCGCAACACCAGCTAAACAAATATAGCTCTAATGATTAAGTGATCATAATCGACTACTGAGAAAGAGGAGTTTTGGACAGGTTTGTGAGTCACAACTTAGTTAATTCACTCTTGTACACTGGTCTCTCTACTGTGCACTAGACTCTTAATTTTTACAAACCAGCTACCTTATTAATTAGTTAAATAGGGAAAAAACTCACATAATGAATGTGATGTTGATGAAGAACAAGTGGGCATCTCCGCACATTCTGAAGCATGCAGTGCATTGGAAATCACTTTTCAATGGTTTGAAGAACAAGAAAGAAAACCGAGCAATGCAGTGCGCCCTACTACAATGTATGCGCCAGACCTGTCAATTTGAGGTGGTCACTTTTATGAACTGTTTTGATTTTATCAAACCCTGAGTTAGTTCATAAACTAGGGGTTCCATTTTTATGCATAAAGGTCCATTAGGCTAGGGCCGAAGTTACTATAGGAGCAATGTAGTATCTGACGAAGTGGGTCTTTGCCCACGAAAGCTTATGCTCCAACACTTCAGTTAGTCTATAAGGTGCCACAGGACTCCTCGCCGCTTTTGCAGATTCAGACTAACACGACTACCCCGCTGATACAGGAGCAATAATATTTCCAGTTATCAGTTGCTCTCCCACACCATTTCAGTCCATGTTTTCTCTCAGACAAAGCACACCTGTCCAGCTGGCGTCCTACGGGAGTTATGCTGTTCACAGTGACATGTGTCCTTTTGTGGCTAGGAGACACAGTGCAACAATTTGATCCATCCTGAGCCTCTGCCTTGCCCCCAACAATAGATATAATGCAAGACAGTAGAGTTATGAACAAATAAAACATGTGACTGCTGCTAAATACAGATTGAACCTCTCTAGTCCAGCACCCTCCAGACCTGACCGGTGCCGAACCAAAGAGTTTGCTGAACCACAGGAGGTCAATATTGTCTAGCAGCATTACCAACACTGCCACTGCTACCTGGGCTTTAAAAGACATTTGGGGTAAATGAGAGCTAAACAGCAGCACAGAAACAGGGAGAGCCAGGACTGGTGGCCAGGAGAAACTTGGCCACACCCATGATAAGCGGCACTAACTAAAATCACGCCTGCCCACAGATGTTGCCGGACCAGAGAGTGCCTGAGAGAAAGGTTCACCTGCGCACTGCTTGGTGTAGTCAGAGCCCCAGGCGAACACCTGAAGTGACAGTAGCAGGAAGTCGGGGAAGTTTCAGTGTCTGGCACACACTAACTCCCCTCAAGGTGACCAGAGGAAGAGAGAGGGGAGGGTGTTCCCGTTTTGGCCAGAGGGAACCCAGCCTGTGCATTTCCCCGCCCCTTGCACCCCCAAGGCAACGTTGCCCGGGCAATAAGCAGGAGCCCGGCTCT